TTGATATAATTTTCTATCCTATCGGATCCGATGGGATTTTGAAAATTCAGTTCGGAGAATGGCGAAAAATGCATAGTTGTATCTCACATTCTAGCTTAGCATTGATACAATTTTATATCCTATCGGATCCCATCGGATTTTGAAAACTGTGTTCCGGAATTGAGCAAATGGGCATACCTACATGTGTATTTTCTTGTTTAGCGTTGATATAATTGTCTTTCGTGTCGAATGTGATAGATTTTTGAAACTGATTCCTGGAAAGGGCTAGAGATGTGTGCGTATAGAGCTCTGTTCGATAATATTATGGTTAGAATGTTGTATCGTGTAAGATTGTATTGAATGTGTGGAATATGGGTGTGGAACTCTTTGTTGAGGAAGGGATGTATGCAAGTTAGTGTCTGTTTTTGCTTTCATCGATTGGTAGGCTAGTTTGAGTATGTTTTTGAAAGGCGATGTTTAGTGTAAAACGCATGTAGTTTTTTAATTCATGAGAATGTGTCGTTAGGGGCGAATGTTTAGCTTTTTTTGGCTGGCTTTAGCAGAGATGCTATTATGGACGTCTGGTAATTTTATGAGGATAGATTGGTGAATAGTATTGTTTGAGTTAGGCTTCGCAGGCGGTTCGTAATGGTTTTGTGTATGTGTATATTAGTATTTCGAATTTGGGTGCATTATTTATTGTGCGTTGAGATGTTTTTTTGGTTTTAAATATGGCATTTGATGGATTATGAACAGTTGGAGCGATTCGGCTTCTGTTAGTAACGTTAGTGTTGGCTGCCGAAAGTGGTTTCCGATCGGCTTTCGTTCCGATAGCTGCCGATCGGATGTCGACAGTAGGATCCGATAGGATTGCCGACACCGGGGATTCCGTCACATTTCCGTAACCGGTTTTCCGGGAAAATCCGATAGGATTCGGCCGAATTTGGTAGGAATCCGATAGGATGCCGATAGGATCCGAGACGGAACCTATCGGATCCTATTATCAGATTGGTCGACCTGGGAGGGGATGAATAAAATTTTAATAGTCACTAAATAGGAATGGTTAAAAATGAAAATTTTCTATATGTAAATATTTTAAAATAATTCAAAATAAATCATAGAAGCTCGATCAATCATTTAGATTCGCTAAAATTACAAAATTTGAATACCATAGTAAACAAACATTAATTATCATGTGATTTATACTATTCACATGCATATCAAACTCAACTGATTTCTTATGGCAATTGTGACATATATTTCATTGAATTAAATGAAACATAAGTTCAAGTCCGATTCGTAGCATAACATGTGTACAACTCATATGTACTTAATTTAAATGAATAATAATCTAGAAAATAATTATTTCTTGAATGACTATTCATTATTTTTGAATAACAAGTTTAGTAACATATAGTTCGAATAAATCAGGATTCTATTTATATCTAGAAAATAAAAGTCATTGAACTTTTTGCCATACTAGCACTGATGTAAAAAGTTTCTTGACAACATAATATTGAGTATTTTCATTTCTAATAATAGAAAAGGAATCATCTTATGTTAAAATTTAGCTTAATACTCTACTATTACTTTTATTTAAAAGATTATAATGATCGTGTTTTTTTTGGCTTTTCAATATGGAACTAATTTAGAATATTTTTTCATTGAAATAAAACTCTTAGTCTTAATTTTTCGTCCTAAAAAATATCCTATGAGTGGTACTGACAATGAATAACGTCGATAAACGATGATATAAGTTTTGGTAAAATGTCTATTGAATGTATGACAACTTACTAAAATCTAATTTTTAATGAGAAAGAACATTTGATCGATCAATATCAGCAACTCATATCTAATCGGGTGATGATAAAACTAAGGTTAACGAAAACAAAACGTTCCTACTGTTAATCAGTGATAGCTTCCAATGTCTTTTTTTCTTTTTGAGTGAATAGACATGACAGTAATGGATAAATACATATAATACTAACTTTCATGATTTGAATGATTAATTTTTCAAGACCTACATCCGATTCATCTTTACCTTTTGTCTATTCAATGTTATGATAAGTACCGTACAGTAAAATATTGAAACGGGAAGCATATTTTATATGACAAGAAAAAATAAAAATATAGTATAGTACTAACAACTAGAATAAATATTACAATGTGTTTTCTTGTTGATTGGTCAACATCATTGTTCATTCAAAAGAATATTGCTTATAGTTTGGTATAATATTTTTCTAGTAAAAGAATTTTTGTACGAAAAAAAAACAAAGTTATTATATACTTGTTTATTTCATAAAAGATAGTCAACGAGACGAACTCAGAATTTTAATAAAAGTAAGCATTTTCAACTACAAGAATGCTTTCTTCGATTCATTTGAGATGATAGCGTTTTGTTCTCGATTGATTTCCGCTGGAAATACATTAAGAAGAGAAGAACAATAGTTTCCGATTTTTTTCTTTGAATATATCACTGAGTAATAAATATAACTTACATAAGTTATTAAAAGAAAATCTGAAAATAAAAAGAATGCTATAGTACATGTTTTCATACAATTAGAATTTACCTCTGATATAGAAAATCATACAATATATTTCTCGATCTAAAAACTTTTTCAAATAGAATGTAACTGAAACTAAATCTTTTTTTTTGTTTGTAACATATATATATATAGCTTTACGTTGAAGTTATTATCGTTTGACTACTGGCCACAAATCAAATAAACATTAGGATTCAGCTACCTGCTGTTCTCATATAGAGATTAACAAAGATAATGTTAAATAACATCATTAGTAACACGTTATCTCCTTGACTTGTAATTTAATTTACAGTGAACAAACATTACATAATGATTTCAATAATTGTACATGTTATGATTTGAATTGCTCAATGTTATATCAACTGGTGTCCTCTGTCAAAGTTTTCTCTATAATTGGTACAATGCGCATAGCCAATAATATGTTTAATCTCAAATTCTTATTTTTTTTGACAGGTTTGTCCTTAGGGTACTCTCAAGGCTTCACATTCCGTAAAATTATATTTTTTTCACGTTCTTTTCACCTATTATTGTATCTTTTTTGTACTTGATTCCATTTACAAGATATGGGTAATACTGTATAACATGGTACGAGTATAAATTCTAAAAATGTAGAAGTTATTTCGTAATCATTACATTGTAAATTCAAATAAATTTTTCATTCATCATTCTCTTTAGTGAAATCAAGAGGAATCAACGATTACATTTGAAAAAATGCATATTCTTCGCTATTGATAAATCGTATTAGTGTGATAACAGCATCTGAAGTTGAAATAAGGACAATTTTATAAATGATCTGATGACGTTTTTCAATATTGTTCGATGATTTTGTAAAACTCTCCAGTCATTTATAACTGTTAGTGCTTCACGAGAAACATATGTATCGATGAAGTTCTTCATTAGAATGATTGTTTTATTCTTATTTTTTATTTCTTAATTAGAAATGTTTTTTTTTCGTATAATGATGAATAATATTCTTAGTCTGATTTGAGGAGTAATTTCATTTTCATTAAATTTATTTTTAAAAAGAAATCGTTTAGTTGTATATTACATGCAATGTTTTATCCAGCGCGGAGGTTCGAGGAAGCGGTGCCCTTCCAGAGTGTCAAATCGTTCTCTCTGGAAGAGAAAATCTCCATAAAACACTAGTTGAGTTATTTGTAGACTAGAAAATATTTAAGTATATTTTTAATAGAAAACTTTGATGTTATTTCTATAAATATAAAATGAGGTAGTATTGCATCATTTAACTTATTTATTGTGTTAATAAATCTACGGGTCTAATAATCAACAAGAATTTCTTTATAAATATAAAATATATTCATAATAACGGTCATATATATTTAATTGAACTAAGTAATACATATCACGAGATGGAAAAATGTTGCATGTTAAAAGAGAATGTAATAAATTCTTAATTGAACCTTTTGTTTATATGTTATTTTTTTTTTATTTGTTGAATAGTTATATACAATAAAGAGGAATGATGTTTTTTATTATATTGTTTGAAATATAAAAAAAATAAAATAAATTTGTATTTTAGATAGATTTGAATGGCTAATGTGTTTCTACAGTTTTTAATTGATGTTGAAAATGGAGATTTAGATGCTGTTAAACGAAATATTCAAAATGGTATTAGTTTAGAAACACATGATGAAGTAAAGTGAAAACAAAATAAAAATCCATTAAATTAACTTTTTTTTTCTTTCGGGATTTTTTTAGGATCAACAAACAGCACTTATTTTAGCTGCTCGATGTGATCATTTCGAATGTGTAAAAGTCCTCATTGAAGCTCATGCTGATGTTAATGCTGAAGACGTGGTAAGTGAAATATAAAAATCAATGAATAATCATCATTTAATAAGAACTAATAATCCATAGTTTATTATTTTTAATAATAAAATATCAATTTTTTTTTTCTTTAGGATCATTGGACAGCATTATTGAACGCATGTCACAATGGAAATTTAGATATCGTATGTTTTCTTACTGAGAATGGTGCGCATATTGAACATTGTGATTGTGTATGTTTTTTATTAATAGAAACAAAAAATTGATTTTTCTTTTATTAAATTAGGGACAATTTACTCCATTGATGTGGGCATCCTATCAAGGACATACAGGAATTGTTGAATATTTATTAAATTGTGGTAGTAATGTTAATGCTCAGGATGAACATGGTATATCAAGTTTAAGTTGGGCATCAGGACGAAATCATGTTGAGATTGTAACATTATTACTTGCAGCTGGTGCTTTACCTAATTTATACGATAAGAATAATACAAGTCCATTAATTTGGGCCAGTAGACGTGGTATGTATATACAATGGCTCACAAAATTATTCGACCAAGTTTATTTTCAATTTTTTTTCCATTGTTGAAAATGTTAATAAGAATCCAAATAGTGATTTGTTTAGAGAATTTTATTTCCAACAAAAATTTTCGACGATAAATATAATTGCTAGTTGTTCAAGGATAGAATCTTTGAAAAAGTTTTTCATTTACTGAAATTCTGTTTGAATTATCTAGAATAATATAGAAAACAATTCTCTACAAAATGAAATGTCTTCGAGCTATCTGCGATGTTTTTTCCCCGAGATATATCAATCTAAAGGAAGGCACAAAAGTCGTTTTTTTCTGTTATTTTGTATATAAACATGGTTTTTTTTTTGTACTTTTCGTCAGATTGATGTATCTCAATGAAAAAGCATCGTAGACAATTCAAAGACGTTTCATTTTGTAGAGAATTATTTACCCTGTCATTCTGCGTAATTTAAACTGAATTCTACGAGATGAAAAACTTTTTCAGAGATCGTATCCTTGAAAAAATAGCAATTATTTTTAACCTCGAAAACTCTCATTGAAAATAAATCTGGTCGAATAATTTTGGGAGTCATTGTATATATTAGAAATTATATTTAATATGATTGTTTATTTTCTATTATGTTCAGATTATACAAAAATAGTCGATTTATTACTAAAACATAATGCTAATGTTAATAATATTGGAATGAAAAATATGACAGCTCTTTTAGCTGCTACAAAAGGTGGTCATGCAGAAACAGCTCTTCGTCTTCTTGAAAATCGAACAATTGATATTAAAATACAAGATAAAGTAAAGTTATAAAGAAATTTTTTGTTTTTTTTTTCAACAAATCTATTTTAAATAATCATAATAGGATGGACAAACACCATTGAATCATGCATGTGCACAAGGTCTTACTGATGTTGTTGCTGAACTTGTCCAACGTCATGCATATGTTAATACAGTTGATAAAGTAAATTTTACAATTAATAGTTTCTTTTTGTTTTTGATTGTAACAAACTTTCAATGATTATTTATATAGAATGGCGATCCAGTTCTTTTTTCTGCTGTTAAAGGTGGAAAAGAAGATTGTGTTGCTATTCTACTTGACAATCATGCTGATATAAATGCAATTGGTGCTGTAAGTTTAATTTAAAAATAAAGACTAATTCATCATTTAACACTGATTTTTGATTTTCGAATAATAAATTAAAAACAACAGGAAAACAAGACAGCAATTTGGTGGGCTGTAGAATGTGGTCGATTGGATGTAGTCAAATATTTGCTTCATTATAATCCTGATGTTGAAGTATCAGGTGGTCCTGATGATGATACACCATTATTATTAGCTACGAAACGAAAACGTGTTGGTATTGTTTATGAACTTATCAAATATGGAGCTAGATTATCATCAGTTGATCGGGTTTGATGATTTCGAGATTTGATTTTTTGTTCAAATTTATATAATAATTTTTCTTTAGTTTGGTGATAATAGTTTACATATTGCTCTACGTAATCGTAGTAGAGATATTGCTGATATTCTACTTTCTAATCCAAGACATTCAAAATATTTGTATCGACCTAATAAACATGGTGAAACACCTTATAAAATAGATGCTAGTCTTCAAAAGAGTATTCTTACAACTATTTTTGGACAACGTATGTATATTTTGGTATAGAAATTTGTTGATCTAAGAATTTATTTTTCTTTTAATTTTTTGAATAGGAACATTAAATTTGAATGATGATTCTATTCTTGGTTATGATCTATATTCATCAGCATTAGCAGAAATTTTAAGTGAACCATCACTTCGAACTCCAATTACTGTGGTAAATACGACATCATTTTTTTTTTAGATTTGTTTAATATTCTTAATTTGATCTGTAAGGGTTTATATGCCAAATGGGGTAGTGGAAAATCAGCTTTGTTAACTCATCTAAAAGGTAAATATTATCGTGTCAAAATTCATAAATCTATTTTGGTTTATAATTCATTTTAGATGAAATGTACGGCTTTGCTCAATTAACAGGTATGTTCTTTATGTACATGGCATTCTACAAATCCATCGAGATAAAAAATGTGAATAGCTCTTGAATAGTTCAAACGAGTTACATGAGTTTTCTATAGACTTATTCGATGTTCCTTTAAAATTTTATGCAACATAGTTCAGATCAAATACTTATACCTATCGACATTAGAATTGAAACAATCTTATTAATAGCCGAATTTGAGTCACCTACAATTTTAAAACGAACCATACTAGTCGAATCTGACACAGAGACGATTAATGAAGATGATATTCTGAACGTCCTATAGTAATAATAGAAGAAAAAATCGATGCAGTTCATGTTATTAGTGAAAATATATCGGCTAGAGATATGCAAGATTAATCTTGATGATTGGGACCAAAAAAAATTGATCACGCGCATCTCTAGTATTTTCAGGAAGTGTTATGGTTGTTTGAAATGTTTTCTCCAATAGCATTCATAATTATGACAGAAATCAGTAAGTGGCTCAACAAAACGAAGTATCTTCGCATTTCGACTATGGAATACATCAGTTTCTGCATAGCATGTTTCCTAACATGCAAATTCGATGAAATAGTTCTTTTCGATGAATTATATCCTCATTGAATTTAGCATCTCTCGAACATGAAAGATAATATCTGCAAGATGCCTATTAAAGATTAAATTAAATTAACAAGAGAAAGAGGTGTAATAGTTTCAATGAAAATTCTATTCAATGTTTTATTGTTTAAAAATTTGAAAATAGTGAACTTATAAGTTTCATTTCAATTTAAGCATTTTGAACAGTAAACACAAACAAAATTATTCGAAACAAAACTTTTTGAGAAAGTCGAATAAAATGATAGAAAGTTCAAGTGTATGATTTGAATTGTTCAAGAGTTATTTATGTACTTTTTGAACATCCTGTACATTATTTTATAATATTGATACGAACTATTTGTTTTAGATTTTCCCAGTATAAAATGCTCACCATTGCTTCTCTCAGTTATTTTTATCATAGCATTAATTATTAGTCTTGTTACTGGTTTTTTAATTCATTATATTGTTAGTATATCACTTGGTGTAATATTGATTATCTTCCCAATAGCATTTCTCGGTTTAATTAAATATCTTCTTCGTAACAAAGATTATGGATGGACAGCTAATGTAGCACAATTTATAAATAAACGTTTAGAAATTTTACGATTTCTACTTCAAGTTATTTTTATAAATCCTTATGCACATTATCGCTTAATAACAAATAATACAAGTGATTGTAAAAAGATGAAGTCAGTTTCAAAATTTATCATATTCTCATCGAATATGAGTTCATTTAATTCTTTAGATTTATTTTTACTGAATATGGTAAAGTTTCAACTGCTGATAGTGAAAAAGCTTGTGCAAATATGATTGCTGAACTTGCAGCTAATGTTGAAGAAACATTTGGACTTGTAGCAACACGTCTTTGTCGTGCACTTCATTCCAAAAGTTTGTTTGGAAAAGAAAAAACCTCGATTTGATGATTATGTTTATTGATTATATTAGATTTAAGTCATCATCGATTTCGATATCTATGTTGCATACCAGCATTCATTTTTGTCGCTATTCAAATTATACTTGCTGTAGTTCTAAGCATTCTAATATTCGTGAAAGGTTAAATTTTATTATGTGTAATCATTGAATTATGTTCAATATTGTTTGTAGGTATTCCATCAAGTCATCATTCGATCAATACAATTTATATTTTACTTATAAGTGTATTAGCACTTTCAATTGTATTCAGTTTTGCTACATGGCTTCGAATATTAATGGTATTGATGAAATCACCTAAATCAAAAATTATTAAATTTTCAGATCATTCATCACGTTTGAATGAAAGTTCTCTTTATCGACTTAGAAAAGAAGTACGTCATCTTTTTTTTTAAACAAATGTTAGAAAAGAAATTCTTTTTTTTTTCTTTCACATTAGGTTAGCCGATTATCATATATTATTAAAACAGTTGAAGCTTTTTTAAGTATTAACACTCGTCTTGTTGTTCTTATTGATGGTTTAGATGTTTGTGAACAACAACGTATACTTCAAATACTTGATGTAAATGAAATATAAATTAATACTAATGTTGTTTTTCTTTTGTTTCCTATTATTATTCTAGCAAGTACATGTACTTTTGACAAAAGAAAATGATCCATTTATTACATTGATTGTCTGTGATCCACATAAAATGATTCAAGATACGAAACCATCAATAACAATATCATCATCAGCAACAAATCAACATTCAAGTTTTGAATCGAGTGTTAATAGTCATGATTATTTACTATCGATAATTCAACTTCCAATCTATTTACAATTAAATTTAAGTAAAACAAAACAATTAAAAAAAAATGCTGATAGTTTTTCAAAAAGAAGACTAACGGTTAGTAAAACTTTTGTAGCCATCAAATACAAAAAGCCTGAAAAATGTATCCCAAGGAGGGCTAGCTATCCAATTTCGATTAGAAAATTTCAATTAAGAGTACCAAAGTACGATTCGATCGGGTTTGTGTCTCAAAAATAATCAATAAATCGGGCCCGAGTCCGAAAATTTTGGACCTGATGGGCTCTAATCGCCGACGAAACACAAAAATCGATATTTGCTTTTTAAAACTTGCCGCCATCCCATATCCGTTTTTGGAGATGTTATTGTCTGGTTTCTTGTCAATAAGTTCTCTACCATGGTTTTCTATCTTTTTCATTGCAAAATTTCTCGAAATGAAGAAATATTTTAGCCGCCGCTACTACCGATCAATACATCAGCTTAAATCTTTCTGTATAGGATTATTCTATCCTATTCTGCATATTCCTATTTTAGATACAATCAAGAAAAAAATCTGTTTTTTTTTAGACTATTGCAAATGGTACATCAGTTCTCGATGTTAGTGCAAAATTAACAACAGCCAAGAAACTTTCAAAAAATAAACGACGTCGACAACGACGAGATACATTACCAAATACTAAACCAGTACGATAAATTTGCTAGTATTAGTTTTATTCTCATACGATTTATCTCTCGTTTATTCATTAGGTCTCAACTTCGGAATTAACTCATCAATTACTTCAATCCGATTATTTTCTTGATATAAATCCACGAATTCTTCAACGTCTTATTAATATCATTGCTATGACTGGTCGACTTCTACGTGCTAATCAAATATTATTCAGTTGGAAACGTCTTGGATGTTGGTCATATTTAGTCGAACAATGGCCATATCGTATTTCTTGGATTGTTATATATTATGAAGATCATGAACAAGATTATGCAGAAGATACTGAACTTAAAATTCTTTATAATAAGTTCGTTTTAAATGTTTATTTATTTTTTTGTACAATTTTATTTTCATCAATGTTGTTTTCTTTTTCTTTTTCTTTAGAATTAAACCATTTATTCCAATATCAAATGATCCTCTTTTAGAACTTGATCGTAATGGACGTAAATTTGAACTTTGTATTGAACAAAGTGAACCTATTTTGAATGTTACTGATTTAAAACAATTTCTACCATATACATGTAATCTCGATCCATATTTGAATAAATTAATTCGAGGTATAATTCGTTTCATTAAAATGAAACATTCATTTATAAAGTTTTATTTATTATATAGAATCTGCAGCATATTTTTACATGAATAATATAGATGAAAATGGTTTTATTCTTAGTGATCCATCGCATTTTTTTTCTCGTCGTGATTCTATGTAAGTAATGAATCAAACAAAAGAAAAAATATTAAATAATATATTCTTATTTTTGATAATTTTGTTCAGAAATTCTTATTATTACCATGATTACAAATGGTAAAATTATTAAAGTTTAGCATTATTTTCAGAATTAACATGATCAATGCTTTCTTTTGACTCAATTTTTGAAACTTTATTTTATTTTCCTTTTTGAATATATCTTACTATTTTTCTAGTCTTAATGGACACAGTGGTATTTTACAACAAGCGCCAACATCACGACATCAAGGCGGGTTTTATTCGAAATTCAATCCTCCTCCTAGAGCGGACTTTATAGGTAATTAAAAATCATTGCTAAAGTTTTATTGATTAGTTCGTTTTATGTAATTCACATATATTTTCGAAGAAAATAGCCATAGCAACCGAGGACAACAGGCGTCGAACTCTTTTCTCAGAATTCTTTAGCAATGGATAAAGATGTTGAACGACTTTAACAACAAGATTTAGACATTTCAAAGTCTTCATCGAAAATTCAATAGTTGAAATACGCTCTTTAAATTTTCCAAACAGTGCAGCTTTTAATTTTTGCGCAGATAGAAATTCATATTCTAGACGTCAAAGATGATCGGTAGTGATACATTGATTTGCTATAGTCGTCATGTAATCAACACACAAAGCGTGAACTGATCAAGCTCTAACTTTTGAAAATAATCAATATGAGTGTCTATAAACCTATCCATATATATATATAATAGTGCGTGGAGATTTGATGTAAATATAATGGATGTGTACAACAGGCTTACTTGTCAGTTAAATCAATAGTTAGAATAATAACGCGCGATAGGAGAGTTTTTAGACAAGATATTTGTTCGCGTTAGAAAATATTTCCGACAAGTCAAAAGCTATGAGTTAGGATGCTCTTTTCGAATATGGCTTTACACATTTTGTACGAGAGTAGTGAAATAACTTTTAAAAAGCTCAAAAAATTAGTTTGGATGGAAAATTTTTACTTGTTTCACTTTTGCGATTCGAAACTAAAAAAGTTGAGATCTTTATTTATATGTCAGCTTATAGATCAGAAGCTATCCTACGAATACACTATTTGAAGATGTTTTTTGTCTTTCAACAAAGCACTACAGTTTTCGTTTTTCCTAAATACTCATTTTCGAAAAATTCACACTTGTTTTACGTTGAAAGAAGCTCTTGAAAAAATGCTGATAGCTTCACTTGAGTAAAAACTATAGTTTAGCTCAATATTACATTTTGTCGAGAAATGTTTGCTCTAAAAAACGAATGATTTCGACAGTTTTTTGCATATTCGAAAAGAGACTTATAGAGTAAACAAAAACCTCTTGGCTCATCATTAAAAATAATTTTCAAAAAGTCTCTTACTACTCTTGAACAAAAATAGACACAGTATTTCTAAGCTCATATTCGAAAAGAGCATTCTAACTTTTAACTCGTCAGAAATACTTTCTAGCGAGTCAAAAGTAAACAAGTATCTAGTCTAAAAACTTTTCCATGACCCGTTAATAATGTTAAATTGAGAAAAATAGAATACAAAAAAAAAAGAAAATCTTAGAAAACAACTATAATCTGAGAGAAATTTTCCACTTGATGTATTTTGTATTAGTATAATGAGGCTAATGAGCATATGTTAATTCCATATGTTAGCTCCAAAGGGGTGCGCTAATAAGCTTTTTTTTCTATGTAGGAGGTTCATATCGTCCAAATATATCAATACCAATGAGAAAACGAGACTATGGTGATGATAATCATATCCGAACATCATCTATTTCATCATCAGTTCCTAGTACACAGCCAACAATCGAACAACAAGTTTTATCAAATAATGTCAAAGTATACCTTTTTTTTTTTGCTACCTTTGAACAAAAATTATATTCTAGAACTGTTTTTATTTTTTGATTTAAATAAAATAGTTGGATTTATCGCCATCTCTAAGTCAGATGACAGTGAATGATATTTGTGATTGTTTAAAGAATGATGTTATTGGTTTGAAACCAACAATGATACCAATCTATATTCAAGATATAAATGAAAATAATATTAATGGTCAAGTTTTAATATCATGTGAACTTGATGAACTTAAACAAGTATTAAATATTAAATAAAATTATATTTATATGATTGAACTTTCTTTTATTAAGATTCTTTCTATGACATTTGGTGATTGGGTACTTTTTAGTAATTGGATACGAACAAAACGAGACGAAGAACAGTAAAATTTATAATATAAATTAAAAAGAATTTCTATTCAAACATTTTTTTTTCCTAGACGTTCTCGATTTCATCGACAATCACAATATAAATCAACAACTAATAATAATGATCATCAAAATCTAACAAACAATGATCCTTTTAATGACTATGAAGTCTATTCTGATAATAGTGTACTTAGCGGTACATTTAATCAATTATTTTCTAATACACTACCAAATAAAACAATGAATTCTACTGATAAAGTACTTGTTAATGATAATAACAAAGTATCAATTATTTCAATACCAAAACATGTCAAATTTCTCATTTCATCGGATCTATCTGATATCACTTCAAATGACAGTACATTTGGTATTATTGAATCAACAACAGGACAAATTACACATGTCAAAGATATATTTTCAGTAAATTTTCCATTAGAATCTCAAATCATAACAAAAAATGAAACGGATAAAGTTATTTCTTCTTCATCGTCGAATTCTGTAACAAATACATTATTATTCAATAATAAACATCAAGAGGAAATTGTTAAAAATGGCAATGAAGAAAGTCCTTTACTTATGAATGATAATTCTAATGATAAATGAATGAACAGAAAAAAAAAATACACGAGAATGTGTAAATAATATTTAATCAATTACTTTTAATTTCATATTGAGTGGGATACATTCTATTTTACACAGATCTATATTTATTATTGTTTTGCATAAATATATTCATATCTATTCATTTCATTTTTCTTTTATTGTTATCCTTTTGCTGCTTTATTTTTGTGACTAATCAGTAATTTACTGCCAATGAATGAATAAGAAATAAAATACATATAATAAATAGTACTATAGATGTCGAAACCATAAGATCTTGCATATATTCAAATCTAATTTAGATTCGCACTTCATTGGCTACGGTAGGCTTCTTCTTCCATCAAATTGATAGATTTGAGCGATACATCACAATCTTTTTACAAACGTCAATATTTTTTGTCAATTAAAAATGATATTGTCTTAGTTCAACAGACTTAGAAAACATTTTTGAGAAGAAATTGAGTGTTGTATAAGTAAATATTGGATCATAGATTGGCAATGATTTGGTGTAAGGATACTTCATTACAAATAAAGAAGAATTCTATGGAGAATCTAAGCAAGATTAATTAGTGCCTGTCGAAATTTTCCTTTCGTCTTTGGCGACTAAAATTACATTCCCATGAAACATTTTCAATAGTGAACATATTCAGAATGCAATATCTTTTTTTCTTATGAATCATTCTGCTGAGTCATTAAACTTCTTTTTTCCAGTAAAGCTCATTATTGCACAATTTTTTTTCTGATTGACATCACTGTATTTCATCAAAGTAGCATATTAAAAATTTGTCTTCTCTCATTTTTAACTTCGAGATGGAGATCTTATTGAAAAAAATGTTGAGTCTATACTAACGTTAACTTCCGCTGACAGTCTATTTATTTTTGAAAAATAACATGAAGAAAAACTAAACTGTCACAATCATAGCAACTACTTCTCTTATTTTTTTTAACCAGGCGCTTTCATTAACGAACATACTTCAACCCTTAAAATAAAACTGTATTTATGATTCTGACGAGACGATTTATACATATGTTTGTTTTAACATATCACGATGTATTAAATCTAATTTCATATGTTCTTTGACATCTTCTAATTGCTATGTTTGGACAAAGTTTTCTAATTCTGTAGTGACCAATTCAGTGAGGTTGAAATTTGTTTTTGTTTTTGTTGTGTATTAAAGCCCAATCATTTGGTTATAATTGATCAATATGATCTTGCAACTGATAGTCGTAGTAAATTTTCATTTTCGTGGCATTTGAATCTAGATGTTATTGAATTAATTGATTAATTTATTGCACACGATATGTGATAATATTTTGTTCATCATCATTAATAATAGGTATTAGTTCATCACCTGGTAATTTCGCTTCTATGTTATATACCATATAAAAATCTCTTCTTGAATGCTTCTATACGATCTACACAACTTCTCATCCATATTTACTACTTTGTTTTGATGGATCAAACAGATTGATGTACGATCAAAGCAATGAATGGAGTACGTGTATTTGTAGAACAACTACATATCCATTAAAAAATATAATTCTTTTCCAGATCGACAATAGTTTATATAATAATAGGTCTAACTAGCAGTGCATATCAAAGATTGTGGATGTCGCTCATTATGAAAAGTACCGAAAATACTGTTTTCTAGGTTAATGTTGTAATGTATATATTGTTTGGTTTCTACATTATCTTATCCAGACCAACGATATCTTTAACTAGTTAGTTTGATTGACAGTAGAAAAAACACAGCGTGAACATGGAAACATCAAAGAATGCTAGGGTGAGGTTGTCGTCATCTTGAAGCAGTACCTATGCTTTATAGAGAAATAATAATGTGAAATGAATGCTGAAAAAAGTTGGTGATCAAAAGTATCTCAAATCATTTAGCGACCAAAAATTCTGTTATCTTTTGGATAAAATTCAAAAGAATTTTAATGATTCTGTTTTTTTTTTATCATTAGATAATTACTATGATTAGAACTATACTGATTTGGAGTTAGCGATTAATGAATAGACGGCAAAAAGAAAAATGAAAATATTTTATTGTTCGGTTTCTAGCGTCCTCTATCAAATATTTTCTTTCATTTTTCTTTCAGATTTTATTAGATTTTTTGAAGGGATTCAATAAACGACTCATAATTGGTTAATATTTTAATAAAAATCAAATCATTTTACACAATTTTTACTTTTTAATAATATCTTACGTTACATTGGCAAATGACAAAGATGATAAGACGATCAGAAAGAGAAAGAGAGAGACGGAAAAAAAAAGAATAAACAAACAAATGAGAATAGAAAAGAGAATGGGAGAGAAAATGTTAGTTCGTTCAGCCTTCAAATTTCCAATGGGAATTATCATATGTTTGCATGTAAATTTATATATTTTTTTATTTTTGAATGATGATATAATATTTCTTTGAATTTAAATAAAAATTTCCAATAATTATATCATTGTTGTTTACTTTTAGTTCTAGAAAAAAGTCCTTTAACATCAAAAACTCCCCGTCCTAAAAGAAAAACGAATAACAACAAAAGCAATAATATACAATGAGCAATGAGTAACGAATTTCATTATATTTTTTTTTGTCATTTAAAATTATTTTCTAAATATTATTTTATAGTCAAGATGCAAAATCGTCGCAACAACAAATACGCGGCGGTACCTATGAAAATTCAAGATATCAGAATAATAATAATGAACACGGTAGTAATGATAATAACTATGCCGGTGGATACAATCGTGGAGGAGTTCTTCAACAACAACAACAACAACCTTCTACACAAGTCTATCGACCTCCTCACTTACAGAATCGAATGAATACGCAAAAGTAAATAATTAAAATGCTTGTTTCAAATTTAGTTCTCTGTTTTTGTTTTAGTGGCAGTTATGCTAATAATAGCAATATGTCTAGTGGCTATCGAGGATCAGTCAATAGGGGTTCATCACCTTCACAACAAAATTATGGTAATAATTATAGTGGTGGTAATTCTCTTCATTCTCATCCTCCTCCACAACAACCCTATTACGGTCAAACACCACAAATGTCATCTCAACAACAACAACAAATGTATCATCAACCTATGTCAAATACTTATCAACAAATACCACGTCCAATGAATACATCACAACAACTTGATAATCGAAATTATGGTCAACCTTCACAAAATCAAATGCCAGTACAAAATCGATCGTAAGTTTGTTTCTTTTTGTTTTTGTTTTTTATTAATAATTTTTCTATGATCATAGGCTTAATGATACATCACAACTATCACAGACTCTTAATCGTCAAGGTTCGAGTGGTAGTGGAGGTGTGCCTGCTGATCAACAATCATCAGCAGGTGGTCGTTGGGATGCTATTTTAGCTGAACGACAAATGACAAATTCTAATAGTGGTAATAGTAACAATCAATATCGTGGAGGAAGTGGTTCTTCTAATAATTATAATAATCGAAATACTCGTGATAATAGCGGTAATAGATACAGTGGGCAACGTGATAATAATTATGGTCGACGTGACCATGATTCTCATAAACCATATCATTCACATGTTGGCGGTCAATCAAGTGATGCAGCTGGTAATGATTGGAGTACACCATTACCACCTAATGCTAATCTTGAAAGGTAAATATTCAACTAACGAAGAAACCTCTTCAAATGTACCCCTTCGAATTTCAATGATTTTTTAACTATAGACACTACATTATGCCCTTATAAAAATCCTAAAAGGATTTAGATTCCCGTTGAAAGTTGACTAGGCTATCGAAATAACTTCAAAAGGGCAATGCATGAGGAAGAATTCTTTTAGGTTTCTTGTACTCTCAAACAGGACCTGCGTGACTATATAGTATTTATAGACAAAAAGAAAATCATTGAAATCGGAAGAGGATATCTGAAGCATTATCCTCATAAGAATAAATTTCGAAAGCAAAAAAAAAAGAAATAAAATTCATATAAATATCTATAGAGAATTATTTGGTTTGCAAGCTACTGGTATTAATTTTGAACTTTATAATGATATTCCTGTTGAATCATCACATATGGATCATTCACCTGTTGATTCAGTTTGTATTTTTTTTTTAAAGATTTATTTTGTAATTTGTTGTTTTTTTATTATTATTGTATAGTTTGAAGATTGTAATTTTGGTGAAATTATTAAAAATAATATCAATCTATGTAATTACGGTAGACCAACACCTGTACAACGTTATGCTATACCTACTATTTTACTTCGACGTGATTTAATGGCCTGTGCTCAGACTGGTATGATTGAAAAATAATGGATGATTAACAAGATGTTTCTTCACGCTAGAAAATATTTCCGTCGTGTTAAAAGTTATGAGTTACGATGCTCTTTTCAAATATGAGTTTAGAAATTTTTGTTCGAGAGAAGTGAAATAATCTTTGAAAAGCGTAATAAATTAATTTGAACGAAAAATAATGTACTTTCACTATTGCAATTCGAAACTAAAAGTTTTAGTCTTTAGGAAATATTTTCTAACGTGAACAAATATTTTTGTCTAAAACTTTTCTCATTACCTATTAAAATGAAATTTATTTCTTTAGGTTCGGGCAAAACGGCCGCATTTCTTCTTCCTATATTGCATTTGATCTTCCAAGAAGGCCCAGTGCGTAATCCTCAAAATAAATCGGGAAATAATCGTAAACAATATCCACTTTGTCTTGTTTTGGCACCAACACGTGAATTAGCCTCACAAATTTATGATGAAGCAAGAAAAGTATATTTTAAGAAATAATCATAAGAGAAAAAAATAATAATAATTCTTTTCGTCTAGTTTTCTTATCGATCTATGGTTCGTTCATGTGTCGTCTATGGTGGAGCTGATATTGGTTTTCAAACACGTGACTTGGATAAAGGTGCTCATTTATTAGTAGCTACACCAGGTCGTCTTAATGATTTAATACAACGTGGTCGTGTTGGGCTGGCAAATGTTCGGTAAATAATTGTGTTCGTGCTTTTTTTTGTTTCATTGTTGATTA